ATATTAGACTTGGAGCAAATCTTCTGTCACTTCACAGATCTTTTTAACTTAGCATAAACTTGAGCACTATAAATACTAATAAGATGCACTGCTCTGTTGGAAGACTTGCCAAAATGTTACTTGGGCAGAAAGAGGAATACTGAGTTACATGAGGTTTCAGGAAATGTTCCTATTGCATTTCTTCCAACCTTTCACAACATCTCCTGATTTAAAGAGATTTAAGGAAATAGTCACGAAAATTGACTGAGACCCATATAGAGCCTTGCTTATAGGAGAGTGTCCCAGATGATTGTTTTGAGGACAGATGTGATGGGGTGAGTTCAGAGATCTTCACCCCCCCCTTTATACCAAAGGGAATCTGGCTCCCAATTGTCTACAAGACTCCAGGTCCTTATCTCCCTTTGGAAGCCTTAGCCTATACCTTTTGACCTTACTAAGATGCCTTCCAGCTCCCTCCGTTACAGGCCCTATAAAACACTTAAACTTTCAGGTTCCTTATTGACTCCCCTTATCTCCCCTTGATAAATGCCTTCCCCCCCCATTAGCTATCCCTATTGTTTATTCAGACCTTCCCAATTAGAATCCTTACCTAGACCCTTTTCCCAGCCCCCTCCTCTGGCCACCCAAAGTGATTTTATTGTATTTAAGATCCACCCTGGCCCCCATTCAGACACTGACAATCTCAAGCCCAAAAGGCTAAGACTTTCTCCTGCCCACTGTTTCCCATGGGCATTACTAACATTCAGCTAAGATGCTGAGAATCTCTCATGCCCCAAAGGCTGAGCTTTTCTCATGCCCACTCGTCCTTACAGACGTCACCTGGCCTATGTGATTTATCACTAATGAACTTTTCCTCTGGCTGGAAGAAAATTTGAGTGGAATTCATGCAGGCAGGGCCTGGTACCGTGATGTTGGGGTTGCAGCACCCCAAAAGTCCTAGACCTCTCCAGATGTACTGATGGCAATGTCTCTGGGTTCCCCATGGGTCTTGGTACCAGAAAGGGGCAGGAGAGCTGCAGAAAAACAAAAATGACCATTAGGGGACTAAGCTTTCTTCTGCCATCCTGAACTCCATATCCAATTGAATTGAAAGTCAGGATAAGTGTTGAGGGCAGTCAAAAGCCCAAAGCTGGTTTTTTGTCAATTTTTTTTTCTTTATCATTACTGCTAGGTAGTAGGGGAAAGGACTGAAAGATGGACCAATGAAAATTTTGAAGCCTTTTTTTTTTTAAAGCATTGTTGGTGTATATTGATTTTACTTTATCTTAGAAACTTGTGTTTCTGGGTCCCCTTTTCTAATTCATACTATCATTGTTTGTATTCATGACTTAAAAGGAGCAAGATACCTGACTTAAGTATTTGAAAGGGTGGTGGAAGAGGGAATAGGCTTATTCTGCTTAGCCCCCAAAGGCAGAACTAGGAGAAATGAATAGAAGTTGCAAAAAGGGCAAATTTAGGCTTGGAGTAAAGACAAATTTCCTAACAATTAGAATTGTTCAAGGTAGAGCAGGTTGCCTCAGGCAGTTGTGGTTTCTTCCTCCCTAAAAGTCTGCACATAAAGGTCTCCAATGCTATGATACTTAAGACCTAGATTTTCTGACTAAATTTAGTGCTAGTGGATCAATCAGAGTTGTGTAAACCTGTGTAAACATGTGCTGAAGGCTTCTTAAGTCTTCCTCTGAGTTAAAGAGTACCACCTGCTTCTTAATTACAGGAATCCTTCCGAACATCGGTTTTCTATTTTTATTTTCTCTTTGATGTCTTTCAGTACAGTCTTACCATTGGTCAGAGACCAGGTTTTGCTCCAGAGCTCTGAGAGGAAGTTGTAGAAAAATGGACGGATTGTCTATTCAGTTCCTAATGCAGCTTCTAATTTGGGGTGTGTCTTTAAACCAATAACTGTCCAAAGAAGAAAAAGGTAGTGCACCTCTAAGGGGTGTCAATATATACTAGCATCTTATGAATCTTCAAAAAGACTTGTTATCCTTGCTTCATCTTTTTCCATTCCTAGATGACTTTCAATTCCACTTTTCCAGACCATCAAAGTCAGTTAATATCCCACTCCTTATATTAACACCACCTCAGAGAAACATTTGCCACATATGGTTTTCAGCAAATACATTTCCACCTGTTCCTTGGAAAGGGGTAAATGTTCTTTTAATTTTAATCCCCACTCACTCTTTAAACAGTATAATCTCTAGGCTTTATCATTCTGTGACCCTTAAATTTACATATAACCCTGAATCAACCCTGAATTTTTTTTATGTCATTGAAATTGAATCTGGAAATATTAGCTGTACTCAAATGTAGGAAACAATCATAAAAGTTAGAATGATTTTTCAGACAAACCCGATCCTGATAGTGGTGACTGAGTCTTAGCCTCCCAGCTTTAGCCTGTGGATCTCACCCTTCTCTGAGATCTTAAATAGAAATCCAGGAGTAAGAATAAAAACTGTCCAAAACATCTTTATTTTTTTTTTCACAGCTTCTCTTCTCCTTCTTTCCTCAAGCTCTTATCCCCATCTCTTCTTTGGACAACTCAGGGTTCATTTCTTAACCAAAGATGAATTTGTAATGTCTTCCTCAAAAACAGCTGAAGAAAATGTCTTCTCTTGGGCCTCAGTCATTAGTCTTAGAGAGGAAAACTGTAGCAAAGGAGAGAGGCTTACTCAATTTTTGTATGCCATTTGACCACTGAGGATGGAGCAGTATAGGTCAGACCTGAAAAGGTCCTCCTTAGAGATCATCTAATTCAACCTCTCATTTTACATATGGGAAAACTGAGGTCCAAAGAAATGAAAAGATTTGCACAAAGTCACAGAGTGAGTCAGTGGAAGAGTTATGAGAACCTAGTCTCCTGACTTCTACCTAAAGCTACCTTTTTCTATTTTTTTCCTTTACACTGTGCTTCCTTTTTCTTCTATCAGATCTGGCTAGGTATCTTCAGTCTTCAGACATGTCAACCTCCCCATAAACCATAGTTCTTTCTGCAAGGGAGAGGTGGTCCAGTGGTGGGGCTCCATTGCTAGATGGGACAAACCCAAGGAGTCTGAGCTTTATAATTTGAGGGATACTGAAAGACAGCAGCTGATCAAGATGTCATGTAAAGTGATTCACCTAGGATAGACAACGGAGGCAGCACACTGTCCGCAGAAGATCTTTGGGAAGATGTTCATTGGAAGAACTGGCATAGCAGGTCAGATTGGCTAATTTTGACTTTGGACTGTGGAAGAACCTGGACTGAGGCAATCTTATTTAGGGTAGGTAATTACATTTGGAACTGGGGAGTGTAAGGTTTGGAAGTTGGGAGACTCCAGGTGAATCCCTGAGGGGACCTTAACAAAAGACCAAAAGTGTGGTCATTTCACAGTTTCCTGCTCTCAATCAGTGCTTTTCCTTGGGGCTATTAAAGTTCATAGTAGTGGAAAGAACACTAAACTTAGAAATCATGGTTATTGGAATCATTGTAAATTTAAAATTCGGTCTAATTTGATTCAACAAATGGTACCATTTGGTACCATTAGGTACCAAAATATGGAGCAGTAGAATATATGATGAGTTTGCAGTCTGAAGACTTGGGTTCAAATCCTACCTACTTCTACTGCTCTTAATCATTGTGACTGCTCAAGTGACCCTTGAAAAGAAAAGAAAAGAAAAAGAATTCCTGCAGTCAGGGAGTTCTTCAGGTTAACTATACTGAGTACTACTCAAATGCGTCTTTTATTGATTAATTGTCCAGGAGAACTAGGAATAGGAAAAGTGGAGGTTGGGAATCAGAGCAGAATAAAAGGGGGGAGGTGGAGTTCATGAATTGTATGCAAAGAAGAATATTTTTTTAAATGTATATATTTGTGAGGAAATTGCTTCTCTGCAGCTTGTAGAGTGTTCCTGGGCCTTCCTGGAGCAGTGAAGAAATATTTTCCCAACTCTGGTCACATCTCCCAGCAGAGGGCTTTGCAGTTAATTCAATACTTCTAAGGATTTCACTCATATGGGTGTTTCTCCCTAGGACACAGGCTATCTACTATTTTCCTGAGTTACTATAGGTGTAAAATTCATCACCTCATGGCTATCCTTCATCTAAGAAACACTTGACTCCTGTACTCCAAGCCTTTCTGGCCTGGTAGGTTTTTCAGAGTTCAAAGTGGGGGAGGGGGATATAGCCTTTGGGAACCCAAGGCCACCTCCAGACCATGGTGAGTCATTTGGGGATCCAGGGTCACCTCCAGGCTACTGTAAGGCATAGAGAACTCAGGGTCACCTCTAGGCCATGGGACGGATCTGAGGACTTTAGTGGAGGTTTGAACAAAACAGGTGCTAAATTGATTCTCAGTTGATAAATTGATACTGCTGTTGGAGGACTTTAGAAGAACTGCATTCTGGTTTTGGCTGAGCCATTTATTTACCGTAGGGTCTTCCCTTCTCTTGGACTCAGCTTCCTTATATGTGTACTAGAAAGTGCCTAGAAAGTGGGTAGGGGAAAGAAATGAGGCTAGTAGAGAACTCTGAGGTTTAAGGCTCTGTTGTGGTTTTCTGATTCAGGGCGGTGCTTCACCCAGGACAACATAACGTGGGGAAACTATGCCCCAGTAACCAATTCACACTGATGTTGGGACAGCCACAGAGCCCAGGCCTGAGTTGAACAGAACCAGAGTGCACCCAGAGAGGCGCGGACGTCCGGGGACCAGTGGGGCAGTGTGTAGCTCGGCTCCTGGAGGGACCCCTGGCCCAAGGGCTCTTTCTAAGCTCTCTCTTCTTGATGCCTCTCTGAGGGGCTGCTCCTGGAAATTTCTGCTCCATTCCAAGTGGACAGGGTTTGAGGCGGGGAAATCCGTGTCCTTGCTTGCTGATCTCGCCGCAGGACAGCCCCCGGGTACCAGCAGAGTGTACAGGTGTCAGCCATTGGGCGGGGCCTGTGCACGGTGACGTCACGCAGCTCTGGGCCCGCCAGCAGAAATAGGGCAGCCGTCAAGCAGCGGCAGCGGCATTTTCCTCTCCGGTCCGTTTTCTGTCAGTAGACTAGCAGAGGTGAGCAGCAGCCGGCCTCCCGCTCCCAGCCACTGCGGGCAGCGGGTCGCGGCTCCCTGCCCAGGAGAGGCGAACCACAACAAACCCGACGCGTGCTGGAGGTAGTTCTCCTCTTCCACCTCTCTTTCTCCTCGGTCCCTCCTCCTCTCTCCCTGCTTGCACATTCGTCCCGCGGCTCCTCCAGCCCTGGACCTTCCAGGTAAGAGGGGCCGCTGTGCGCTCTGCGGCTCAGCCTGGCAGAGGATTGGGGGGCTCGGATACCGGGCAGGAGCCAGGGCTGGGGTTTGAAAGTGCGCTGGGCTCAGCTAACGCTTTGGTTCTCTGTTCAGCGGATGACCTCCCCCGAGTTGGGTCCTCAAGGATCAGAACCCGCCACAGGAGCCAGCTGGAGGCCACCCCCAGTCTGAGAGCGCTTTTTCTGTGAGCACCTTTGCCCTGTTAGGTGTGCGCAGAGGGTGCTGGGGAGAGGGAGAGCAGATCCGACTTGATGACCTGGCGGTGGAGGTGGGCTTACACTAAAGGGAGACTCGGAGTGGCGCCCGAGTGCTTGATCTCAGGGGTCTGGAGGCAGAGGAACCCCGCGCCTGCCTGTCGCAGAGCGGCGGGAGCAATGCAATGCCCTGCAGCACCCGCTGAGTCCAGAAGCAGCTGCAGACATTGAGATCTGCGCTCCGGTCCCGGGCAGGAGGCTGATTCCGACGGGGTGGGGAGCACTAGCTGCAGACCAGCTAGGACAGTAGATTTGGAGCTAGCAGCAGTCCCTGTATCTCCGAGAGCTTGAGTTGCTTTAGGGCTGCTCTTTTGCTCTTTGCCCAGGACTCTTTCCTCTTACAACTTCTCTTTGGTCTCTGTTGCTTGCTCAGACATACGCAAGACTGGAAAAAGTCAGTGTAAGCCCAAGCAGGGGAGGCTCTGATTCAGGCTGGTTTGCGGTCCAGCAGAGTTTCCTCTTTAAGGACACCTTGAAAATCTTTGCCCCAAGGTTCCGCATCCCATTATCTGGCTGGACGCCCTGTTGGGGCTAACGGGGTGTGACGCATTTAGGGTGCCCCTCAGCACTGCTACTCAGGCTTAAGTGCAGGAAGTTTGACCTCAGAGAATAGGGATGGTGTTCGCCTACTCGCGAGCCCTGGGAAACGTCCAGCAATGTTCCTGAACCTTTTCTAAGCATCCCGAACTAGAGCTCGGCCAAGCTAAATGTGAGAGTTCTGAAGCACAAAGGCCTAAGACCCCTCTCCCAGACATAACTAGCAAGAAATGGGCTCATTTTCAGGACTGGGACTGCGCACTGACCCCCTAGCCAACAGTTTGTTGACAAAGCTTTTAAAGCGTTTGTTTGGCTTTGCATAATTTGGTGCTGTTAGTTCTAGGTACCTGAGGGAAGTAAAGGCAGAAGAATCGAAAGGTCAAGACCTAGGTTGGGAGGGTGAGAGCTAGCTCTTGGAAATGAGCTGTCCAGATGACCTGGCTCTGGGATGCATCTGAAGCTAAGCTCCCTGTTTTTTGATCCTCTAGATGTCGCTTCTGCTGTGATTTTTTTTTTCCTTCTTTCCCCTTGGTTTACCAAAGCACGAAGCCTGTTGCTTTAAGAAAACTTCAGGTCGAAGTTCTTTCTGTACCTGCTTCTCAAGCTTTCTCGAATAACTGAGTTTTGCATAAATGCTCTCCAGTTAAGTCTACTTGTTGAAAGGGGGGCCCCCCTCTTGCATTTTTGGCCTTAGAATACTAGATTTTTTTTTTAGAGCTAGAAGCTACCTTAAATATTACTGTCAACAAGAAATCCAGGTATCAACATTTCCTTTAAGACTTTATAGTTGTGTGATCAAGGAAGGGCATTTAATCTGTCAGCCTCAGTTTCTCATTACATAAAATGAAAGATAATAATAATTGTAAAACTTTTTGTACAGGGTTGTTGTAAGGATGAAATTAGGTAACCTAAATAAAGTGTCTTGTTAACCTTAAAGTGCTGTATAAATGTAAGATGATATGCTGATGAACCTAGGGCACATAGGGTACCAGCACTTAGCCAAGATCACAGAGTAGTATTTTGTGTAGGTGACATGATATAATGGAGAGGGTTTGAATTTAGAAAACCTGTGGGACCTTGGGCAAGTCACTTAATATCACGAGGCATGGATTTCCTCCACCTCAAAATGACTTAGTGACTGAGTTTTATGATCTTCAATATCTTTTCTAGTTCTAAATTCTAGGTTTCCTGAGAGATGACACTGATAACACTTCAAGCTATAGATGACTAAATGCATTTTGTGTTTGATCCTTCAGTTCATAGTTGAGCTTTTAGATGACTTTGAGTTGGCTATTGTAATAAACTTTCTACTTAAAATAATTACTTGTAAGTGTATATCTAGCTTTTTACAGATGGGTGAGGGGTATTGCTACCATCCCATTTGATTCTCTTAACACCCTTATGAGGTGAGCAGAAAGGGATTATAGTCGCACTACAGAGGGAAGAAAATGGAAGCGTGGAAATGACTTACCAAAAGTCATATATCCAGTTTATGATAGTCACAAGTAATCAGGTTCCAGGTTATTTCTACTAGCCCACCCCCTTAGAAGCAGAATTAAGTCAAATGACAATTTCTTTGTTTCCTTCCTTATCCATTTCTTACCCCCCCATCATAAAATTTCAAACCATTATGTCCACTTGGAGAACCTGTCGTTTCTAGATACACTTTCTCCTTGTTCTACTGGTTTTCAATGCAACCTTTTCCAAATCAATCCTCACAGACTTTGTGTGTGTGTGTGTGTGTGTGTGTGTGTGTGTGTGTGTGTGTGGTGTGTGTGTGGCATGAGCAAGCATCAAATTTTCTATAGCTCCTCCATAGAGGATTCACTCTGTGTTTGCAAAGTCATCTTTGTTCTTTTAGGAAAATAGGGTGCCCAAAAAGTGAGGCAAAAATGCTGACTGGGCATAATATCCTAGAAGTGCTTATGTAAGACTTTGTGATTATGTTTTGCTATTGAAAATTTATGTGACTATCCTCAACCTTTTTTTTTTTTCAAAACTAACTTTGCCTCTGGAGAAGAATATTTCTGTATGTCAATCCCATAAATTCTTCTTGGACTGTGAAAAGCTTTTACGTTATTTCTATGGCTATGATCTACAGGGAAAGTGTTTTGGGGTCTTATTTTTAACTCTTGTAATCATTTGGCATTCCTTTCTACTTTCTACCTAAAGAGGGAAGAACTTCATTTTGGCCTTTTTGCAAAAATCTTTTATAAAGATCATAAGGAGAAAGTAAGCAGATTATTCTTGCTGCTGTATTAGTAGGCAAATAATCAAAAGCTTAGTAGAACTTGGAAGGATTCTTTTACTTTCCTTGTCTATCTTATCTTGCTGATAAGTAAACTGAAGCCTGTAGAGGTAAAGTAACTTGCCCAAGGTCATACATCTATTAAATATTAAAGGAAGGGCTCAAAATCAAGTCTTCTTGACTCCCTCCCCTGTGCTACCATGCCTTCCAAAGTGAAGCTGAGATTCAGAGTTGTGGTATCATTGTAATTGTTCAAGGGCCAAACTTTAAGTTTGGAAAAGGTAGATAAGCTGAAAGTCATTCTCAAGATGTGGGGATGAGGTGGAACCCCTCTCCATAGTGTAACCTCAGCATAATTGGAATGTCATAGACTTAAATATTATGCATAGAATCATTTAGGCACCTCATTTATCAAATGTTGGAAGTATTAATCAAAGATTGAGTGGATAATTACTAGGAAATGCAATTTAACTTCATTATGGTTTGCTGCAAGGTTAGTCTGAAACTCTTGCTATGCTTAATTTCTTCGGGATGGTATAATCATTAGAAACTTCCTGTGAAGATTGTAGGTGGAAACTAGAGGTCAGTATTAGGGATTTTTTGTCTGAATATTCCTCATTCTCTTTCCTCCTAAATAAAAATAAAGGTTGCTAGGCAGTTCGTCAAAATAGCAAGGGGACATCCAACTTTCCAACTTGTGGTAGAATTGAGAAGTAGAGTAAATATGGAAGAGGGAATGGAGTTTATTATGAAGTAACCTTAAGTAATATTAGCTTATCTGGAGGCATATAATGGTCTTAATTCATAAAAAGAGCAACAAGAATATAAATTTATTCTCAGGAACAAGTAAACTAAATTTGAAAGGTAACTCTTAAAATTGTTTTATATAAGTCATTCCTAGTGCTGTGATATCATAAAAAAAAGAGCATTGCACTTTGAGCCAGACAGCATTGGCTTTATTCCTGGCCCTGCTCCTTTGGCCTTAGTCACTTGTTTCTCTTCCCTGGGTCAGTTTCCCTACAAGCAAAATAAGGGGGTTGAATCTAGAGGTTTCCAGTAAGCAAAATAAGGAGATTGAATCTTCTGACTCTAAAGCCTGTGAAAATCTAGTTATTTGTTACACACACACACACACACACACACACCCACCCCAAACTATGGTAGATGGTAACCCATAACATTGAGATTTCTTTGGCTTTCTAATATAAACTGCTTGAAGGCAAAGATTATTTCTTTTTGTCTGTATATCCCCGACACCAAGAACAGTGCCTAATCAGGTACTCAATACATGCTTTGTTAAATTTGGGTGCTTGTGGGTGGAGGTGATGAAGGTACTAGAATATAGAGATTTCACCTACCTAATTCTTACTTACCCAATAAAGGAAGGAATCAGGATAGAGAAGGACCACTTTTAAAACTAACTTCTGAGTTTCCTCTGAATTCAGTTGATATCCTCTCCCTAGCTCAACACTAAGTATAAAAATGAAGTGCTGTATGAAAAATTGCTGTGGAGCACTCTGGGAGATGATGGTCCACAAATCTCAAGAAGCAGTATTTTTTTATGAGTTGTCTATCATTGAGAACTTTATAGTTGTCTTGAAGAAGAAGGAACTATACATGTTCAATGACTTGGGAAATAATGCTGCCTAGAATTATCATGAAGCTTATTTATAATATGTAATGTATAGTTTGGCTTAAAGGTAGCTTTAAAACCCAAATCACTTTGAGAAGGTGTTCTAGGCTGTAAGGGAGTAGTACATGGGACATGATTGATGGCAGAATGTCTATAGCATATGTTGTTAGTTATATAGCTAAGTTGTGATATCTAACTATATAGTATATTTTTTGTTCTTTCAGAACAAAAGCTCCCTGAAGGGCAGTGACTTTATTTGTCTGTGCCCACAGTGCCTAACATTGTTTTTTTTCTTTTTTGGTCCAGACCTCTATTTCATCCATATAGTAGAAATATTTGTCCCCCACTCCTCACCCCTGTGTGAAACTACTTCTACGTGGTAGATTGGTGATCCATCTGTAATTTAAAATCTTAGAGAATTTCCTGGAGAATTGAGCTTTGTCCATGGCCACACAACTAATTTGTGCCATAGGTAGGATTTTAATCTAGTCTAATACTCCCACCTGCCACTTTGATTTGCCCATAATAGACACTTGATAAAAATATCTGTTGAATTGAAGCTGGGGAAAAAGAAATCAAGCTTGTGATATGGCCATTACATTGTTCTCTAGAGTTTGGCTTTATGAATTTAATTTCTTCTAGGAATCTGAAGACTTTTCTGGCACAAGACAGAGTGTTAAATCAGGTAATGGTAGACAGCTTTATCTGGGCTGGGAAAGGATTGAAAAGAAACGTAAAGAGGTCACAGGGAGTAGATCTATTTTATGGGAATGTTATGTGGCATCAAGTTGAACATGAAGATCAACCAAAGTTTTTGATGATTGGAGTAAGAGACTGAGTGGATCTCTCCTCCTGAGCCAGGTCAACTAAACAGCAGTCTGGCTTCTATCACACAGGGTTAGAGGGGTAGGGACTGAATCTGTGCTTTTATTCCTCTAGAAAACTCTAGGATGAGACAACATCTCCACCAATGCAGGTCAACACCTTCTCTCCAATTTGTAGTAAAAGAGAATTGCCCCTAAAGCAATTTTAGGGGTTAAGTAACTTGTCATGGGTCATACAATGAATATGTCAAAGGTGAGAGCTGAAACCAGGTCTTTCTGATCTGAGACTATGGTCTATCGACTATCTTATGCTGTTTCTTACATATAGCTCATATGTAGTAGACATTTTAAAATGATCAGTTTGAATTGAAATGGAAAAAAAAGTTCCTTGGCTTTATTATTGAAGAAATAGAACAAATATTTCATGCATAAAGGATACCCTTTTTGTGTGCTGGGTACTGGGATAGCTACAGTTGAGGTATAAGGCATGATTCTTCCCTCATGTAGCTAGGGACATGCAAGAAACAGTTTAGTTCCTTAATAAGACACTATTTTTGATCTTTTTCCATGTGTTATCCAAGGACATAATTAATTAACATGCTAGTTTTATCCCATTCACATGGATGCTGAACTTTGAAGTTGGAATGTTTTTGATGCTAATAGTTTATAAGGACTTTACTAACCAGAAGACTCTTTGTTTTTAGCCTCTGCTGCCATGCTCTATTCCCTGTCTCTTTCACCATATCATGGTAGCCTGATCTGTGCATCAAGCCTGTTTTATATTATGGTAATGTTTGGTCATCCTGAGAAAAGAGGAAATGAATCATTATGTTACGGAGTTAGCTTTAGAGAATGGAGGTTAAATTATAATTAGTATTCTTTTGGGGATAGATTGTTCTGGGAAGACCAGGTTTTTAAAGTCTCCCAGTATCAGTTGCAGAGGATGGCAGGCTGGAAAATTGTTCTTGAGTATTTTTTCAATCATAATATAGCCATTTTATGCATTTTACCATGTAAATTAAGACACTATTATAGTGTACTTCCACTATTTGATCACTTAGTATGTGACAGGCACTTTTTGTATATATTTAAAATGCCTTTAGCTTTTCAAAGCACTCTTACACATTTGTCTTATTCTGCCCTCAAAATCATTTTGTGACTTAGGTAAATGGAGGTATAATCATCTCCCTCTTACAGATGACGAAACTGAAGGGACCTCGAATAAATGAAGTATTTTGCTTAAGATCACCCTAGTCCTTGTTCCCCAAGTATTATATGGTTATAAAATGGACTGATTGGCTTTTAAAGCCTTTATAACTTGACCCCTTCTGTTTTTTCTAGTCTTAGACTTTATTCCCTTCCAGACCTGATAATCCAGCAACGCTGGGCTATTCCTCTGAGTTGGCCTCCTCAAGCCTTCTGCAAACAGCCTTTCCTGGTACCTCTTCTCCACCTGCCTACCTCTGCCCCTGCTGCTAGAGCTTTCCCTCTGGGTTTGCATCCCATTTATACCATATATATTTTGCATCTGCATAATTATTTGCATGTTGTCCTCCTCTTGGGAATATAGAGTCCTTGAGGGTAGGGACCATGTTTTGCAGTTATGTGTGACAGAATTTGTGTGTGTGTGTGTGTGTCCAGTGCCTGGCACAGAATAAGTGCTTAAGAAATGCTTGATGATTATGATTTAGTCATGATTATTAGCTGAAGCTACAATACCATCACTGAATAACTCCCCTGTGTCCCTTTCTTCAAGTGACATGGCTTGATGCCTATCTCATTCCTCACAGACTCAAGATAATGAAATCAAGAAGTTTTGGATCGTTCTTCTTGCTGCTTGAGATTTATTTGTCGACTACCCTGGGATGGATGCGTTCAGAGACAAGCAGAAGTGTTTCCTCAGATGTGGGAGGGCTGCAAAAGAAGGTATTTTGACTCATTTACTGATTGGGAAATATTTCAAATTCTGAATTCTTTTCAGTGCTTCTTTCAAATGATGTCTTTTTAGAATTGAGCAAATGGTAGGAAGAATTTTAAGCTTACTCATCATCTTTTCCTTAGGAGGGTGGAGGCAGGGTAGATTTGAAGAACAATTGTTACAGGGTAAATCCTCTATCTCTACACCAGTTCTGAATCCTCAAAGGTGCTCAGCCTATAGATTGCCTCCTTATTTTTACTCCAAACCACAACTTTCATTAATATCTTTTCTTCCCAAAGATAAACAAAGACTGTCTTTATTAGTTAAAAAAAAAGCCTCGAAATTTCAGATTAATTAGAGAAACAATTTGAATTAGTAAAGTCATTAAGTTTGTATTTTTTTTAAAAGAAAAGTATATATAGTAAAAAGAAATAATAAGAACTAACTTTAGAATTGGACCTGGAGTCATAAAGATGACTTCATCTAACCTTAGTCATTTACTTAGCTATGTGACACTGGGTAAGTCATTTAACCTCTACCTGCTTCAGTTTCCTCAACTGTAAAATGGGAATAATAATAATAATAATAATAATATCTACCTCACAGGGTTGTTTTGAGGATCAAATGAGATAATATATGTAAAGTGCTTAGCACAGTACCCGGCACATTGTAGGAGCTTAATAAAATGCTTATTTCCTTCCTGATCAACTTTTTGCAATTAGGGAGCTACTAGGGAACCTGCTTTAATGAACAAATAAAGATATTAATAACTTGCAGATTTAATTATTTGTGAAATATTTGAAGAATTTATTAGCATATACTCCACTGAAACAACTTTTACTGGGACTCTTTTCCTTCTCCAAATGATCGTGAATCCCAAATTATGCAGTAAAATGTCATTGATTTGGAGTCTACTCCAGGCTATGGTGAGAGTCATCATAGTTTAAAGAACAGAAATCTAATCTCAGGAAGATCTGGATTCAGGCTCTGCTTCTGACACCTACTGAGTGACCCTTGATTGTAAGTTACCAAATAGTTATAGATCTGTACACTTGGAATTCCATAATACCAGTGACATTGCAGGTCTAGATTTAAAAAAAAATAAGTTAGCATTTCCAAAGATTGCAATTTAATGCCTACTTATCTGTGTCAATGACTTTATAAAGGCCAAATGAAACCTTTACAACTTCTGCATGTGCCCATCTTCTTTCCTTGGTATCTGTTTTTTCACGTGGGACACAAACCAAATATGACTCTCCAAAGTAGTTATTCCTCCTAGGCAGAGTTAATAATGGAATAGGTAGGTCAGAAAGACATCTGACAGAGTAGAGAGAACTCTGCCAAACCTCAGGGAATAATCCTTAGGATAGCCTCCTTGCCTCCTGAGAGAACCATACCAGTCTGCATTAAATAAACTTTTTCCCCTATCACAATGTATGGCAGGATCATTGAATTATTTAATAATAAGAATGATTCCTTATTCATTATTACTTAATTGTAATATAATCCTGAACCTACAAGCCTTAATCTTTGGAGAGCTTTAGGAATAATTTAATGTACACTTCCCTGTGCATCTTTGTAGTGACACTATGATTAAATAGAAATACTATGCCTTCTGTTTAACCCCACTCATGGTACCTATTTAAAGCTCTTTTGGGAAGAATCTAGAACAATGACTTTTAATAATCATAACTCCCTCCTCTCACCATGCTCATGTGGCTTATGACCTTCAATCATAAGCTATTACAAATCATTCCTGTTTAATGTGTAATAGTAAAGTAACAACCATAAATCTTCTTCCTGTAGGGTCCTATTAATGCCTTATATTAAAATCACTTTTAATTAAAACATCAAAGCAGACTTTGAATCAGGTATTAACTAGGAGTGAACTAACTGTAGGCTAGTTAATATTGTATGAATCTTTTGTTTTCTGACTTGCTGCTAATGTTTTGTATCCTGAAAAGAAATGAGGATAACTGTCCTTAAAGGAGGAATTTAATAAAATTCCTCTTCTCTTGGAGGCAGCCTGATGGTCCAATGGCTTTGGAGTAAAAAGGCGATATAGGACAGTGGAAAGAGTATTGGAGAGTAAGAAGACTTATTCTTGGGCAAATAACTTTACGTCTTAAGGGCTGTTTTTCTTAATCATTAAATTTTTAAAATCTTTTAATGTTTGTTCCCTTATGAATGTAGTTTATAGGATCATATCCATGAAGATCTTCACTGTTTTATTTCAGGGGAGGATTTTGAAAACAAATTGTTCCTGAACTGGTAAATGAAGGCTTTGGGGCATACCCCCATATAGATTTTATTTTCAATCTATGAAAGTGTTTTTCTTTCTGACTACTTATAACTATTCCTTACTCAAATGTTTTTATTCAGCCAGACTAGTCAACTCACAACCTCTTAAACATATCATGAATTCCTGCTTTTGTAGATGCTTTTGTTGCCCACATGGAATGCCCTTTCCTACTCCCTTCTCCCATCTTTATCATGTTTGCTATCTTTTGTCTCTATCTTTACCATTTTTGTTAAAAGCCCAGCACAGTGTTCATCTTTTCCATTCAGCCCATCTCTTCATACCCTTTCTTCTTATGGCACAAAGTCATAATAATGGGACCTTCCTCTTAACTTTTGTAACTATTATGGAAGTTAAAGAATATATTGGAGTATATGTTCCTCCTTTAAGCTGAGTTAGTTCCTTTAGGGCAGGAGCTAGATCTTATGTAACTTGACCTACTCCACAATACATAGCATAAAGTCCTGTTTATAGCTTTCGCATTCAATTAATAGTCGTTAAGAACTGATCTCCCACCATTTGGGTGTGCCTCTTCACAGTGGGAGACTATTTGTAATGCACAGCCTAACTTGGCGACACTGAGAATTGCAATACAATTAAGTAATGAGGAATCGTATCTTTATTAAATGATTCACTGATCCTTCTGAGCCCCATTGAGTTAGGAAATGCATTAATTTTACACACACTGGGTTGGTTTTCTTTTATGGGCAAGAAGCCTATCTTCAGAATTTGGTTGGGTATAAAAAAGTGAAGCTTGGGGAAAGTTGATATTTTGGAGTTTGGCAGAGTTCCGATTGCCCTGGGGAATGTCTTTGTGCCCCAATATTGCTGCCCTTGAGAAAACATAGTTGTCAGTGCACTGCCCATCCTGATCCAGAGCACCAATCAAGAAGTGAGATCACACACAACATATACATACATAAATATATACACATATGTGGATATATATTTATTTATTTATATTTATATTATGAGAGAGAGAGCGCCCAGCTAATGAGGGAATTTGTTTTGACTATGCATATTATTACAAGGAATTTCTTTTCCATTTTTTCATTGGGATGGGAGGAATAGAAAATAAATTTCCACTAATTAAAAAAAAACTTTAATAAAAAGAAAGTCTGAATGGAAGGGAACAATATGTATTTTTGGTAATGATATTCTTTTAATCCTTTGTTTTAAGTAAAGTTGTTTTTATTGCATTTTAAAGACCATGAGTGTTTTATTTCATTCCTCAGTTTCTCAAGCCTTGAATCACTGAACTGACCCAGAATAACTACTGAGTATAATGTACTGGGAGGATCAGTGGAAAGGGCAATGTATGACAGCAACTGATTCTCCCTTCCCCTATAAACAGGTATAAAACACCAAAATAGTTAACAAAATAAATAAAAATATAACAGAATATGGTTTATGTTAGTTCGAGGTTTTCTCAGTCAATATACATCAGCAGGGATCCTTGTAAGGTTTATTGGCCACAGTGTCTATTTGAGTTTGACCCCACTGCCCTACAACATGTTTAGGCCAAGCCTTCCCTTAACTTCTTTCTTCTTTTTCCACTGTTCTCTCTGGAGCCCTCCTCTGTTGTTAACAAACTTCTCTTCTTTCTAGATTTCTTTCTTTATTCTTTTCATCTTCTAATCCTCAATGAAAACTAGTTGTGTTTTTTTTCTCCTTGAAGACCTCAATCTCTTGTTATCCTCTCTAAGTCTGACTGTTCCTTCTCTTATCCCCTTCTTGACACAAGGCCAGAAGGACATATTGGCATCTTCCTTGTTCTGCACTGCTGCCTTCAAACCCTCCCTTTGCCACCATAACTAAGTACTCACTCATTTTTAAGTTTAATCCATCCTGCTCAGATCTTTGTTGCCATCATCTAGGGACCTCCAGATCATGCTTCTTGTACCCAGTAAGTTCAGTCCATGGCTAACGATCTTTTTTCTCTATCTCTACTCCCCTTCCCTTTGAATACCCTGACCTCCCAGTTCCCCAGTCTCTTCAAATCCCATTACCCCCTCCTTATTCTACCTCAACCATAAGCAGGAAAGATCATATCTGGTACTCTCCTTATCCTCTTTCTCAACTAAGTTTGCCCTAGGTAACAAAATTCTAGTTTTGGTTTGGCCAATGAAATATTCTGTAGCCAGACTGCTTTGAGAAACCCTAATCTATATTTTTGAGAATCAACAGAAAATCCTTGGAAGCATTCTGAAGTACCTGCCTCCCATGGTTACATCCTTGTCTTCACTCACAGATAAATATCCTATGTAGACATACCTTTGCATAAGTGGATGTATAACTTCAAAAATATGATTTCCTCAGGGTGGGTGGTCTTTTAACTGAAGCAAATCACAAATGGAATGATCTCTGAGCGTATCTAGGCTAGTCCCAAGAGAAGACAAAATCTGCACTGAAAACCTTAGCAGCTTGGTCCAGAACCTGCCATAACTTGGGCTTCACTGGCATGATCTTTGCTTCTGAATACAGTGTTGCCCCCACTTCATTGTGAGGTGAGGCGTAGGAGGAGAGCTGTAATAGAAGGTAGGTGAGTGAGCGTGTGCATGTGTGTATGTAGATAGGCTGGAAAATAGCTCCCAGGAACTTCTATGAATGTTGATTTACTTTGACTTATTTTCCCCTGGTAGCAATATTTAAAAAAATAATCCATTGACTTACCATCATTTTTATTTGAAAACACTTCGAAGGGATTAA